AATGGCTTGCCTGCAGACTGGTCTCTAGGCTGGGCTCTTCCTATGAATAGAAGCAAGCAATTACATCAGGGGATCACATGTTTACCTGCGGCTTAACTGCTTTATTGGACACTCCTGAATGTCAGGTCTGAGACAGAAAGCTGGACTTCACTGTATGTAGGAGGAAGAAAGAAGCGTGCAATGAATGCCACGTTGGGATGTAGCATACCTGGTGACATAGAGATGTTAGCATACCTTTGTCTTTCCTTGCTTGCATCCTGCTTCTCGCTATCTGGCTGTATCACGGTGTTTTAATCCTGCTTCTGTTCTCTGTCTGTTGCTCAGCCCTTATTTCTAACTCTGTTTGAGATGTGTGTGCAGAGCAGAGGCACTGTTGCAGATGATGGGATGATTGGTGTCGTGTGAAACAGCCATTTCTGTTCTCCTCCTTACTGAGTGGCAGCCAAAGTAATCACATGCTGACCTGTCCGGGATGTCCATCTCTCCCTGCTGGATGTACAAACATCTCCCTGCCTTTATATACACGTTCAAGACTTTGACTTCAGAGTAAACAAACTGACGCTGATTGCTGTTAAGCTTTTTTCCACTCGTTTCCTCTGGGGAGGGGAATCTGTACTACAGATGAAAGTACAGCAGCTGATGCTCGGCCATTAGCATGGACTGCACTGCTGGCTGTAAGTGGGTATAACGTATGCAATATGTGAGCCTACTGGAGTCCAGAAAACTCCAAAGCCATTAGTTTGGATGTGATCAGGTCATGCTTAGAGGTCACTGAAGTGCTGAGCTCATCTGAAGTTTAGTGATCCCTGCTTTGGTGCTTGTGTTCATCAGCAGCATTGCTGCTTGCACTCTGAGCATCGGAATGTCCATTTTAATGAGCGGATGGAGTTGGAAGAACTTGCTGTAGAACTTCACTGGTCCATCTGTGCCAAGGAGCCATCCTGGCTACCAGAATGGAGGGGACAGCTGTTGGCGTTCCTAATAGTTACCTTCAGGATAATGAAGTCTTGCTTCCGTCTTCACAGAAAATAGTAAGCTCTTTGACCCAAGCCTTGCAGCAGGAAGGTAAGACTTGCAGCACAGAAGAACCTTCACCAGGCTGCAGCTGCTGCCTGCGTTGTGGTTTCTGCCTGCAGCAGAGGCTCCAGGCACCCTGTTCCAGGTGTCCTTCTGCAGGGCTTTGGAGCAGCTGTGAGCAGAAGCGTGTAACTGGGGCTCGGTAACGCTGTTTCAAAGAGCTGGATGTGTAAATGATGCAACCTTCTCTGTTTCTCAATGGGTCGCTTGTAATGTGCGGACAGTGCAGTTGGTTTCCTGGTTTGTTTTCGTTACGGCTGCCATTGAGGCCCTGCTGTAGGAAGCCAGGGAGCCTTGTTCTTTATGAAGCTGGTGGAACAGCTGTACCTCTATCCATCACTGGGATAAATAGGATCCAACAGCAGAGCCGGATGTTTCCTCCTCTGTCTTACTGGCAAACGTAACCAGCATCCTTCCTTGTAAGCCTGTCATTGAGTCCTGGTGAGGTAATGAGAAGATTTTTGCTGAAAACGACTGAAATCAAAGAGAAGTTACTGAAGAAGGCTCCACCAGACACCAGGTCGTCTTCCTGCTGCTATTATTACCCAGAGCTGCCCGTCCCCAGAGCTGTCAGCCTGCCTGCAGGCGAGATGGCACCAGGAATGCCACGTGGACATAGCTCCTGGTTAGCTGCTAACTGGTTCCTTTGAGAGCTGAGCCTGGTTTGTGCTGAAGAAGCTGCCGTTCTTTGAGCATTTGTTTACTTATTTATCGAGGTCAGCAAAGTAAAGTGCAATTATGGGGTTTAGACTAACAACGGGCATCTGATCTATGAGAGCTGCAGAGTGTGAAATTAAAAAGCAGAGTGGCTTCGTGCTATTGTTTGCTGGATAAAAAGCTCCCAGTGTGCAGATGACTCCTGGAGATTTTTTATTTCATCACAGCTATTTAAATGTTATTTGTGAAGCTCTGCGTAGTAGTGAGCCTAGAAGTTCACAAGGGCAAGCCTTGGCAACATAAATCTGATCTGAATTTTGAGAGATGCCACTTAGCTTTTCCCAAAAAAAGCAATTAGTCTGGCACTGGACAGTTGGGTATCACTGTAGTGGCTTTGGAATATGCGATGATCAACATCTCTTTTAATTTCCAGAGGCTTTGCAGTTGTTCTTGCAGATGTTTGTGTGGGTTACTAACTGAAAATCACTCTGTTGTTTTGGAACTGTCTTTCTGTTAAATTCAGGAACGTGTTTGTCCTCTGGGTGGATTTGAGTCCTGTCACACCAAACCCTGCAGGTAAAAGAGCATCGAGCCACTATGACTATAACACAGAAAACTTTCCGAAAGGAAGGTTTGGCAGGATTGTGCAGCAGAGCAATGTGTGCTTCCAGGAGATGTGCTGTAACCGGAGATCACGTTGGTGCTGCACGGCTCAGGTCCTGCTGGCAGCAGGCAGCAGCGGCTGGAGGGCTGCATGCTAATGAACGCCTGAAGGATGGGGGAAAGCAGCCCTGTGCTGCCAGAGCACCGCTCCTTACCTTGGTTGTGAAGACCAAAAGCCTTGCTGGGATTTCAAAAATGAGTTTCTCGTAACGCTTACGGTAAAAGGTTGAGGAATGTGGTCATAAGCAGTCAATTAAAACGGCGTTCTTCAGCGCTTCCTTGGCTTTATGTTAAGATGCAGGAAATGCTCTTTCCGTGCGGAGGGGCCGGCAGCCCGGGTGCAGCATTCATCAGTCTTTGTTAGTGCAGCGAGCTGCCTTGATGAACAGTTCATTAACCAGGAGAAGCAGAATCGCTCTTTTAATGCACTGCCGTGGCAGTCAGGCCTTGACAGCGAGCACAAAAACTCGGGGGGTGAAGCTGGGAGCTCCAGCCTTGCTGCTGCACTGACTCCCATCTTTCCCAATCCTTTGGGAAGAAGCATTCCCTTAAATGCTGCTTTGTGAGAGCTTTATTTAAGATCATTGTATGTAGGATCCCGCGGTTGTTGAGCAGATAGCTCAAATTTAAAAAAAAAAAAAAAAAACAAACATCCCAATAGCTTGCACATGTAGGAAGAAACCCTTTCTAACTCTTCTAGGCAGCTCCGGAGGCTTGCTGCGGTATTAATTTGTTTCGTTATAAAATATGTAAGGTGAAGGTAACAGTTAAAACCAATGCCCTGAGGCTCTGGCAGCGCGTGGCTGGCTGGCACAGTGCTGGGACGGGGCAGGCGTGTTCCCAGCCGTCAGGGCACGCTCGGCGGCAGCTTCATAGGCACAGATCCACCAGGAATAAACCAAAGTCTGCGGGCTCCTGGTCCCTGGGGTGCTGGGAGGGGGTGGGCCATGAGGATCTGTGCTGACTGTAGTGCAGTCCTAAGGGCTCTGTTTTCAGTGGGATTAAACCTGAGCTGTTCCCAGGCTCACCTTGGGACTGAGGCTGCGGCGAGCACCTGGAGATCCGTCGGTTCCGCTCCTCCCAACCCCTCTCCTCACTCCTATCAGCAGAAGATTAGTTTGGGGCAGGCATTTGAGGCTTCCTAGGAAGCAGTTGGTAGTCGGGGCTTTGGTGCTGTCGTCTAGAGCCTGATCTCTTGTTCATCCAAGCCCTCCAGGAAATGAGAAACATAAGCTGCAGGTATGTTGCTGCGTATCCGCGGAGCGCTGCCTTTCTGGAGCGCCCAGAACATTGAGGCCTCTGCAACCCTGCTCCTCAAAATGGCTGCCAGATGTGTTGGCTCCGTAGAGCTCCCATGAGCCTGACACCACAAGTGCTGAGGTTACCAGCTCCATCCTGGCAGCATTCTTCCCTCAGGCCTCCAGCAAAGCGGTGCAGGGCTGGGCGAACTCCACGGGGGCTGCGGCACCTTTGTCGGAACAGCAGTGTGCACAGTGTTGGGACTTTGCCTAAACAAAAGAAGCGTGTTTGGTTTTTTAGCTCAGGTTTAGGAGCCGAGGCTGAAACACCCTTGTGATTCCCTTGTGCTAGGGAAGTTGTGAGCTGGCTGGCTGTGCTTGCATGGCTTCTCGGCAGGGCCGGTGAGCTCCATGCCTGTGTGGCCATGCAGCAGTCACCTTGTGACCCAGCTGTAGGTGTCCCTGTTCACTGCAGGAGGCTCGGACCAGATGGCCTTTAAGAGTCCCTTCCAGCTCAAACAATTCAGTGATTCTAAGTCATTGCTGCTGATGTGGGGAAAGGAAGCTGCCAAGCCCTGCGAGAGTGCATCCGTTGGGCACGGGGGGTAAACGTGCTTAGCAGGCTTTGTGTCATTATCTCCAGCATCGATAGGCAGAGCTTTTAGAAATATATCTTAAAGCCATGCTGCGTGGTAACTGGTTGTTTATCTGACAGTGTGGATGTTTCTCTTGCAGCAGTCAGCAGTTTTGCTGAAATAACAGAACTTTACGATAAAGAGGTGTTGGAAAGTACTCGAGCTAGTAGGATTTGTAAGGGAAGTGTAGCATCTAACATATGCTGCTCTGCCTTTAAGTGAGGGGGAAAAAAAATTCTCAAAATAGTCCTCCTCACTCCTTCATTTAATTTGCTTTGCTTTATTTCTAGAATCAAAATGAGAATGTCCTTTTGACGTAATGCTGTTTTTATAGTAAGTACAAGTCCATACGAGTAGGATTCATCTTGTGCTTCACAGACGAGGCAAGCTGTGTGTGGTGACACTTCTGAGGGTATTTGGGCTGTCTTAAGACGGAGGGTGATTCCCAACATGAAGTTGGTGTGCCCAGGCATGGAGTATGTGAGAAGCATCAAGTTGAAGGAAGCATTAAGGTTAGGGGGAGGTGTACGTGTGGCACAGAAATAATTGTCCATTTCCCTTTGCTGTTCAATACTAAGACTGAACTTCTGGAGCGTTCTGCACGGTGGAGGTGAAATGGATGTCATGGAGGACAAACGTCACTGGTGACAGAGCTGCCCTGACTCGGCCTACGTGGAGATGAGATGTTCCAGAAATAACAGTAAAGCATTGCTTTGTGTTTCTCTTGCAGCAACCCTCCACTCAGCGAGGAAATGCTGCCTCCAGGGGAGTGGATGTGTCACCGCTGCACCGTGCGCCGAAAGGTAAAGCCTCTTGTGAGAAGTGTGCTCTGTGCCTCTCAGCTGTCCGTGGTTCTGTCATCTCCTCTCCCCTTCACGTCAACACACGCAGTGCCAGAGTTGCTCTTTATGCTCAGAGTTATGAAGGGCTTTGTTTAGAAAAGGCTTCAAGAAAACCAAAATGTATTGATGAGACCGTCCTGATATTTTTAATATTGTTACCAAAAACCACGAAACTGAAGCACCTGACCTGTTTGTGTCAGGCTGTGCCTTTTAACCTGCTTTCCTTCCCTCCCATTATGGAAAGGAGGGAGAACTGAGGCACAGAGGGAGGGGCTCCCATGCTGGAGGAGGTGAGCTGCCTGCAGGTGCAGCAGGAGTCCTGTTAATGCAGCTTTAGCATTGGGGTTGTGATTGTGGTTAATGTGTGGGGGGGGTTTTGTTAGTTTTTTTTTTGTTTTTTTTAGAAATGTGACTTCACAGCAATTGCACATCAGCAGAGGGTGAAATCACAGTGAGTTGTGATTTCCTGGGCTGTTGATCAGGATGGGGAGATGACTGAGCAAGATTGTGGCTTGTCTTCTTTGCCTTGGTACTCTTTGTCCAGGAAACTGTCTTGCACAATGAAAACATCTTATCGCTGTGACTACATGAGGCTGTGTAACAGAGGGTTTGGGAACTCTGCTGAACTATCCAGCAGTTGTTCTCTTCAAGTGACACCCAAAACAGATCTGTTGTTACCAAAGCAATTCCCTTGTTACGTTTTCAGGGTACTGCTCAGGCATCTGCTGACAGCAAAGATGAAGGTCACAAATGTAATAATATTAATCTAAATTTCAAAAGCACAGCACCAATGAAAAGACTTCTCTGCATTAAAAATCTCTCCTTTTACAGAACGTTTTCATAGTGATGGAGTAGATAGGTGCTGGCAGGCACTGGGACATGGTACTTGGCCATGCAGCTGCCCCTGCCTGCAGAATGGACCTCTCAGTGATGGCAGCGTATTGTTTTCCTCTGCTGCAGTTCTCTCTGCCCACCTTGTTCATGAGTTCTGGTGTCAGGAGATAGAGTGTTTTTTATGTTGTGCTTGTATTCTCCAGCTGACCTTCTCATTCTGTAACGGGTTTGGATGCACTGCCAAGATTAATAGACTGCATCGGCAATGAATGACCTACCATGGAGATTCTCTCAGTGTTGGCTAGCAAATTAAACAGAGTTGTCTTATCAGACAGGTATTTAGGGCTAGATGCTGTGAAACTTTGTCCTGATCTGGACTCAAGTACAGCTGTCCTGAGAGGAGAGAGGGAGATGCTCATTTTCTTCCCTACGCTTGGTGTTCCCTTCAGCTCTTTTGTCATCTGTATGTTTTTGTCATCTGCAATCAAATTGCTTTTGCTAGGTCAAGGCTTTGGTGACTTCACGGGTGAAGTTGTTGTAAGTGGCTCAAGCTTTTTCAGATGCTGTTTGTCTTCAGTTGCTTGTTTGTCAAGGTTGATGTGCTTTGTGGCCTCCATGATAAGCCTGCCTATTCATGTCGTGCAGAAGCGAGAACAGAAGAAAGAGCTGGGGCAGGTAAATGGATTGGTGGACAAATCTGGGAAAAGGACCACCTCCCCAACCAGTGACGCAGACCTGTTGGACAGGTCTAGCAGCAGCATCAGGGCTAATGCGCATGCCAGGATCTTGGAAAGGAGAGCAAGCCGGCCTGGCACTCCCACATCCAATGCCAGCACCGAGACCCCCAACTCAGAGCAGAATGATGTCGATGAGGACATAATTGACGTGGATGATGACTCTGCCATTGCAGAAATGGACTGTGGGCAGCCCCAGCTGAAGCGACCGTTTGAGCTTCTTATTGCTGCTGCCATGGAAAGGAACCCAACGCAGTTCCAGTTGCCGAATGAATTGACCTGCACCACAGCACTTCCAGGTGAGTAACAGGTCGCCCACTGTGTTGGTTGCATCCTGCTGCCATCTTGCCTGTTTTCCTTCTCCGCTCCTTGTTGATTCTGGTGAAAGCAAAAGGTGTTCTGCTGTCCTTGGTCCTCGTCCAGCCATCCAGCAGTCCTCTTCTAACTGCAGCAGTAGGTGGCCTCTGGTTCCCCAGGATGTAGGGACACAGCTGGTAGCTCCATCAGCGTTGAAATGGATTCTTTCTGCATTCAGCTGAGTCTAAATCATCAATCTGAAGAATTTTCCAATTGTCCAATTACTTGATTTTTAACTCTTGGTTACTGTATCAAGTAATGACTTGATTGTTTCCGTGACTCCCTATACGTTAAGCTTGAAGTATGCCTACCTTTAGAGCCAATCTCTGTCACTTAAATCTAGATTTAGTGGTTGATAAGAGCTCCTTAAGCAGCTCCTTTTTGGCTTTTCTGTTTGCTTCTTCCTGTGCTGATTATACATATCTACCAGGAAGCAAATCTCTGCTGTGTGGGTAACCCAAAGATTTTTTAAAATTTTCTTTCAGGTACTAGCAAGAGGAGGAGAAAGGAAGAAACCACAGGAAAGAACGTCAAGAAAGCACAACATGAGTTAGACCACAATGGTTTGGTTCCCTTGCCGGTCAAAGTCTGCTTCACATGCAACAGGTATTTAATTCTTCCAGGGAAGCTGTTTGGTGTAACTGCACCATTCATGGGAACAAAGTTCTTCCTGGAAAAAAAAAAAAAGACCAACCTCTTATCCTTCCCATTTTCCTTCACTACTTACTTATGATCTTGTATGCAAATAAGGGAATAATAACCTTTGCTAAGTAGCAGATGCTTAACGACAAGTGTAGCCATGGCTTCTGCAGTATTGCATAGCTGTAAAGGTTTTAAAGTGTAGCCTGAAGAGATTGAGCCATCTTGCCTTTGGTATTTTTCTACTAAGAAAAAATCTGAAGTGGAGGTGGTTTAGAGAGCAGAGATGTTTGTTTATGGTTCATAAAGAAAGAATGTGAAGAGGTGACCTTTAGGAAATAGAAATATACAGAGAGAGCTATAAGCCCAAGGCAAAGAGGAGTATTGTGCTGCAATGGTAAATCTTAAAACTAGTTTAAAGTACTGCTGTGTTTTTTTTATGACTGCAGAAAAAAACACACATATATCCCTACTCAAATTGTCAGCAGAACCAAGAAAGTACTTTGGGAACTCCAGTCAGAGTGAGTTTTCTGGAAAAAAAAAATGTAATAGGGTACGTCTGAGATTTCCTTCTGATCTTTTAAGTCTTGCTCTAAACAAAGCCACTCATAACCACTGCATAAGATCAGCTTGAGAAGTTGCATACGTGAATCTGGACAGGTGCTTGCTATTTTCCAGCACCAGCATCTCCTGCCAAAGGACCAAGAAACCCTCATGTGTTTGGGCAAGTCCTTTCACCTCGAGTGGGTCTTGCAGAATGTCCATGCAGATCAAGTTACAAACCTGAAGCTTAATTTTAGATGCAAGTATCATAGCATGTGGGATTTGGTAGGAAAAGATAAGCTGATGTGGTTAGCCAAGCTTGCACGTTCACTTTTGACTCTCTGTTCTGCATGGGAAATGAGATGTGACTCTCTCTTTACAGGAGTTGCAGAGTGGCACCTCTAATTCAGTGTGATTATTGCCCACTCCTGTTCCACATGGATTGTTTGGAGCCACCTCTTACTGCCATGCCTCTGGGTAGATGGATGTGCCCAAATCACATAGAACACGTGGTGGTAAGCAGGGCTATGATTGCAGTATGGTAACCGGATGCTGGAATGGAACCTGGCAGGTCCATTAAAGGACAAAGTACAACAATGTAAAACAGCTTCTGAGCTCTTATTGCTCCCTGTAATGCTTGTAAAGCTCCTGCTGCAAGCAATGTGCTCTCCAAAGGAATATGATGCTGCTCTCTGCAATAAAATATAAAGATGGGGGAACTCCTTTTGTAACTGAAGTCGACAGCTCAGAGTTTGACTCACTGGCAGTGTGTCTGGTTTCCAGATTGGACTCCTTAAGATCTAGATGAGCTTCCAGAACTGTGATACAAAGCAATTCAGTGCTACAAGTAGGGGAAGTCATTCTTTGCATGCTTAACCCAAAAAGCTTTCATTCCAAGCGGGCGCTTTCATTTGTGGAAAAGCGCTGTGCTTGAGACTAAATACTCAGAAAACAGGGGGCTGGTACAAAGGGCTTGCGCCCAGAAAAACTGCTTCTGAGAGCACTGATGCTACTTAGTAGGCCTCTGAGTGCTTTTATATTTGCCTCCAGCAGTGTGCCCTTTAACAGTTAGTGCTGCAGGAAGTAAATAGTGTAAAGCAGAGCCGATGCTGTACTGCCAGTGCTGTGAGGCATTATGACAGTCTTAGGGTACCTTAGTGCCCTGCAGATCCCTAACTACTGTGGCATTATTTGATCACCCAGCTGAACCAGAAGAACTTGACCCTGAGTAATCGGTGCCGAGTATTTGACCGGTTCCAGGACACCATATCTCAGCATGTTGTCAAAGTGGATTTCTTAAACCGAATCCATAAGAAACATCCTCCGAATCGCAGAGTTCTTCAGTCAGTGAAGAGAAAGGGTTTGAAGGTGAGTGTTAACAAGTAGGTGTTGGTGAAACTCCCCGTGTACACATGTTAGTTTGGAAGGGAAACCAGCGTGCCCCATAGGGACAGCCTTGTTGGGGCACGAGAAGAAGGTGGGGACTGAATGAACGTGCTGGTGAGATGTCTGGAAGTCAGCAGTCAGGGAAGTTATCTTTGCTGCACGTAGGGTTTAAGAAGCTCTGTTTTTTCCAGCACCCATGATGCTCAACTATGAGAACTGAACCTTTAAGTCTAGCACAGGCATGGGAAGTACAACATTAAAACCAACCAGAGGTGGCCCTAAAGTCAGAATCTGGGCTGCACTGTGTTCCCTGTTGAACCCCAAGGAACATTTCTACCAGAAAGCCACATGTTATTTTTCAGGCAATCTTAAATGCTTCTCCCTTTTTTTTTTTCCTTGCCTTTTCTTTGCATGATTTTCTTGTGCTGTAGCCACTATGTTATGCTGAAGTCATGCCTGACCTGAGGGAATGAAACCTATTAATTTCAGCATAGCTGCATCAATTTAAAGTACTCAGTACTTGAAACTTCTAATGTATTGTCTGCAGGATTCCTTTGGGTCAGAAAACACCAAACACAAAGCACAGTGCTGGTTAGGCACTTAATTTAACAAGTCATTCTTGAGTAATTGTTCTCATGTGTGATCTTCTTTCTCTCCAATGTAGGTTCCTGATGCTATAAAGTCCCAATACCGGCTTCCACCCCCGTTACTTGCGCCTGCAGCAATTAGAGATGGCGAGCTGATCTGTAACGGGATCCCTGAGGAACCCTTGCAGAAGCACCTTTTGAACACTGAGCACTTAGCCAGCCAGACAGAACAACAGGAGGTAAATGAAGTCAAAATGCTTAGACTCTGTCTGTAGTTGCTTTGGTACAACAATCTTTTTCCCTTTCAGTTGCCATCAAGAGCAGTTGTCAGGGAAACCAGTCTCAAAATCGTATTTCTGAAGGTGATAGCTTGTCTTCTCTCTGACACCCCTTGCCCATTAAAACTTCATTTTGGTATTCCAGGTGAAATGTAAAGCCTCCTCATCTGACACTTCAAGAAAGCGGTGAAATATTTCTCCGGTCTTAACAGTGTCATTGAGGGCTTTCTGTCTAGATGTCATTTTTATTTCCTGGCTGAGAGGACATAACTTCCAATTTGATTATGTAAGGTTGCTCTCTGACACACTTGCTTGTGTGTTAATGTCACATTACTGGGCAGCATTTTATTGCTGATAACCAAAGATTTCTAAATCAAGCTCAAATGATTGTCTAAATCTTGTAGGAAATTTCCTGTTGGACTCCACGATGCGAAGGCATTGAGTCCTGATAGTTCTTGTGTATGGTGCGTGCACACTGACCACAAGGCTTAAAACTCTGAGGAAATCTTTTGGTCATCTTCAGCCAGGTGAAGAAGAAAAGATGCTCTCATCCCCTCCTTTGGCAGGTGACTGCCTTTAGCATGAGTTAAATCAGCATTTCTTTCCAGCGTACTATGGAGTAAGCTAAAGGGTTTTGTTTGGAGAGAAGCCCATGTTAGTGGAAAATGTGAATGTAACTAGCTGAAGAATTTGCAACGCTTTCAATGCAGAGAGGGGGAAACATTTGGGAGCAAAGAGCTGCCTGCTGCCTTTCCCTTCCTGTAATCTCAGCTTCTCTGTGCGCTGCCCTCTGCACAGAGATGAGCAGTGCACATCCAGAGCCTTCTCCCAGTACTAGACGAGCTCAGAGCAGATGCTGGGTGCTGTGCAGCTGGATCCCTTTGAGCTGGCTGAGCAGTGGGGTGGTGGAGCTTTGGAGCACAGTCTGCCTGCAGAGCTAACGTGTGTTTTTTCTTCCTTTCCTCCCAGTGGCTCTGTAGTGTTGTTGCGCTCCAGTGCAGCATATTGAAACATTTATCTGCTAAGCAGATGACTTCGCTTTGGGACTCTGAACAAACAGAGAAGGCTGATATTAAGCCTGTTATTGTGGCAGACGGCGCGCTCGCCAACCCTTACCAGGCAGCTGACAAGGCACCCACACCTTCCCTCTATTCCATGTCATCCTGCACCTCAGGGATTACCACCCAGAATTCCTTGAGTTCCTCACAATCCCAGCAGACTTTATCACAGGAAGATGTCAACTGCAGCTCCTGTCTAGATAAATCCAAGAAGGTGTCTTCCTGCGGGACTTCGAATGGGCCGACAGCCTCTGACGTTAAAGTAAACGGTCCTCATTTCTATGGCGTTTCATCCGAACCTTCAGCACAGTTGCCTGACTCCCAGAGGCTGATTGGAGCTGGTAACACAATACCTGTTTTGTCTCATCGGCAAACGTGGCCCAGGCCCCTCACGCCCCCAGCGACTTGTGGACTTCTGAATCACACCATTGGAACCATTGTCAAAACAGAGAACGTAGGAGGACCCGTTTCTTGTTCACAAAGGGGTTCTGTGCCAGTCACAAGTATGCCTACTTCCATATCGAGCTCCTGTGCCAGCCTGGAGACCACCAGCACTTTGCAAAGGAAGAACGTGCAGACGCAGATAGGACCGCCGCTGTCAGCGGACCTGCGATCCATGGGCTCCCCTCTGACAGCCACCAGGGCTCTCACCCCTCCCCAGGCTGCAGGAGATGGGATCTCTGCTGTTGGATCCACAAACAGATTCTGTTCACCAGCACCACCTTCAGGTAAGTGCCCAGCAGCTGATCTTGGCCCCAGGGTGGGGAGGTGTTCAGCTGAGTGCTGTTTCTGGACCCGCAGGCTCTCATTTATTGGAGAATTTAGCTTTCTGTAGAGAGCAGGGAGGAGGTTTCCAAGTCTCTCCTGTCCTAGGTTTCTTCACAGGAGCTGTGGGATGTGTGTACCTGAGAGCAGAGTTCTGTCCTCAGCATCAAGACAGTGGATCGGTAGTTCAGCTCTGGGAAGCAGCAATAGATTCCCATCCTTTGGCTGCTGCCTCCCTGTCTGCTCCAGTGCTGCTATAAAACTGCCAGTTGGTTTTAGAGCACTGCCTGGATTGCCAGACAGGCTTTTTCACAAGCATCTGTCACCCCTTTGATGCTCTGTTCTGATGGTGCCTACGTCCCCTCGTGCTAAGTCTGCGGCTGCACAGCGCTGATGTGCAGGAATGTGACTTGGGAAGTTGTAGTGAGTTTAGTACCTGCCACTCTTCTCACACAGATACTTATGATTTACCACTCTGTCTTGGGCTTTACCCTAAAATCTTGCTGTTAAAGGGCACAAACCCATTCATCAATGTAAAAGTATTGAGTGAAAAACATGGAGAGCTGAGGGTGTGAGAGTAGCATCTCTTTTAATTCCTACGTTTTTGCTAAAAGAAGCTTTCACTTTCCTTTTGCCTCCCCCGTACCAGCTCAAAGCTCAAACCATTGGATCCTTTGTGCAGGTTGGGTTTGAAGCAAGCAGCAGAGCTGCCTGTCACTGCTCTCCTTGCAGCTGTAGCTGCTCAGTGTGGGTTTGGGTGGAGTGCAATGTAGGCAGCATCTTCTTATTGTTCTTAAAATTCCTCTTGATAACTTCTGAGCGTTAGCTTGTGCTTGGGAGCAGCTCCCAGAGCAGCTGGCATCCCTGCTGCTTGCTGAACCAATACAGTCATTCTGGGGCTGCTGGTTTGACCCCTGCTTGGAAATGCAAGGCTGGGGAGGCCTTTAGGTGCTGCAGGGTGATGTGAATGATGAATTCTACCCGTGACTGTCACATTCTTAGCAGTGAGCCACACCCCGGAGTTGGTAATTGTACAGAAATCAAAAGGTTGAGGCAAACATGTTTTTAATGCGTGTTCAGACCTGGACAAGCTGCTTAGCAAAGTGCTGCAGGTTTAGCAGGCTGCTTCAGCTCCAGGAGCTCAGTGCTTATCAGCCAGTGTCTGTAGTACAGCATCACTTCTGTCTCTCGTTGCTTCTTCTTTGATCAGGGAGTGGGGGGCTCGGGTTTTTTTAAGTGCAGAATTCCTCCAGAACTGAAGGAGACAGAGGCTGAGAGCCAGTACTGTATTCCAGGCACACACTGACCTTTGTGAGGGGAAGAAAGCTTGTGGTCTCTAATTGGGGCCCATTTCAAAGTATGGCTCTGTGCAGAATTAGTCACTCTGAGCAGCGTGGAAGCTGGGAGCAGCCTGAGGGCTGGGCATGTGTCTCACGGACGTCATGGTGACATATCTTCTCTGCACCATTATTTTCCCTGTAGATGGTAAGGTCAGCCCCAGCACCTTATCCATAGGAAGCGCTTTAACTCTACCCTCATCACTCACTTCGAACTCTGCAGCTATGCTGGACCTCACCAGTTCCCTGAAAGCGTTTATGGATGGCGGTGAGTATTTGGTTTGTCTCTGTTAGCACTGTGTGTTTGCTTCCTGGGCATTTTCTCTGCTGAAGGAGTTCCAGAGATAAGGAAGGGTTGCAGTCAGGTGAGGGAGGGGCAGGATATACATTACCTTAAACGTGTCACATATTTCCCTATTTGTAGCATTGCCAAGGCAGTGAGGCCAATGGAGGGCTTCTGCCTGAAGCTTTTCTGAGGAACAATCAGAATGCTATTGCCTGGGCTTCTTTCCAGGTGGAATTCACATGCAGGAACCTGCAGCCCTGCCGTGTTGTGGTGCTCGCTGTGCTCCAAAGGTGTTCCCAGCATGCACAGAGCCCAGCATCTCCACGCCTTGTAGCTGAGCAGTCTCTGAGTCGTGATGCTTTATCAGCTCTGCTCATTTCCTGATTGATTCCTGCTTCTGTCAGTCTTCTCCTGGACTGGCATAGTTTTTATTTGCCTTTTGTTGCACTTGGCAAGAATCGCCATATCTTAGTGCAGTGACCTCAGGAGGAGGAGATTGCTAACCAGCAGTCATCCATAGCACAGTGAGGCAGGCTGTGGCCAGTGCCTGTTTCTCAAATGGAGCCTTTCTGGCATTGCAAGTGTGATGGCCCTCTTTTCATGGGTGAATCCCAGCTGCTTTGCTCAGCCAGACCACCCCTCTGCCATCAGGAAAGGCTGTTGTGTCTCTGCTTCTTCTGCTTGCTGTTTTAACTGTTGCTGGTGCCAAAAAAAACTTGGAAACAGAAGTTAGCCAGCCTGCTTTTGCTACCAGAAGGCAGATCTCCACAGGGCTTTACAACTAGAAATACTTCAAAGCTATCAGCAACGGATCTGCTTTAGAGCTTGTTAATAATCCTGTCTGAATTACCTTGTTTTGGTTAATTGACTCTGCTGTAAAAGCATGTGACTCAGGAATGAGCATAGAGCTGCTTCAGAGGTGGTTACTGCTGCGGTGCAAAGACTTCATGACTAGATAAGGAAGCTTCAGGAGAAAGAACCAGCCCACTGCCCAAAGGGGCAACGTCTGCCCCTACAGCCTTGTTGCTTCTGAGCTGAAACAGCAGATTTTCCACCTAGCAGTCCTTGTTGCCCTGAATTTCTGAGCCCTGAACTTCTGTTTGCTGCCTGCATTGCAGCTTTGCAGCCATAGCTGACACTCTCTATGTACTGCTCACGTGAGAAGTAAGAGACCACCTGTATGTGATGTTCTCAGTACTGTGGATGTTGTTGATCCTTGCTGTTGAAGCACATGGCAAGTCTGAAAGCAGGATTGTTAAATCCATTGCAGCTCAGATGGCTCCTTTCCATGAATAACTTTACTAATTGCTTTTTGTTTGTTAACAGAGATTGAGATAAATATGCTGGATGAGCAGCTGATCAAGTTTCTGGCCTTGCAGAGAATACATCAGCTCTTTCCTTCCAAAGCTCAGTCTCTAGCAAGCAGTGTCAGTGCCCATCAGCAATCTCCTGTGGCAAACCACATTGAAGGTAAGAGCAGTCCTAGAATAGCTGGGTTATGTTGAGCCTTATCCTTCTGGCACTTCTGCCTGTTCCTTGAAGGAGATTCTCACTCTTCCTTTGGTATCTGCTTGATGCTGCCTTTCTTTCTTTGCATTTCCTTCTCTGGATATCTGCTGACCAGGGACACTTCCAGGTCCCTCTGCTAACTTGTTATGCAGGGAGAATACCTTTAGTAATGTGTCAGTGAGCCTTCTGGTTTTCTGAAGATCTTTAGTGATGTTATGTTTTACTCATCTCAGCTTGAGATGGGAAGGTTCCATTGTTCTCCTCTCCCCATCTTTGAGATGGGCAAGAGAAACATATTTAAGATAAATATGCTGATAATCTGCACAGGCCTGAATTCAGCTCTGGTCATGGGTTTTGGCATTACTAACACCACCAGCTGTATGGGGAATGTGGCTTCCTGTTCCTCTGCATGCAGTCATTCAATGTGATCTGCTTTCAAGCACTAAGTGGACCAGCCTTGTTGTGGGAGCAGTTGTCTGCTCCCCCTCTGCTAGGCCTGGGGCTGAACATCCAAGATAAGGTCTTTGGAATTCTGCTGGGGTGGCTAACCTTCTTCTGAAGCTCTGTGCTTGCCTGCTTACTTGCTGCTGTAGCATCACAGCATTCTCTGAATGCTTTGTTGATCATCTTCTGAGCACTGCTGTAGGATACACAACCAGGCTGTGATCAGAGCTGCTTTCCTGTGCTGCTCTAACAAACCAACTTCTGAAAATTCTTCAGCACTCTGCCTCCCAAAAGGCAGATTGATGCTGTCTTAACCCACGGCCCTTTCTGGACAGGATGGAGGCATCCTGCTGACTGTTCAGCATTACTGACAGTAGATTTCAAACCTTTTGTGAGCCCTGTTGAGTCAGCAGAGCCAGACAGCTGAAAGGACTCGTGCAGAGGTGGCAAGCTGCACATTTCAACTGTGCCAAGTGCTGCACGTCCAGGGATGCCACTCAGTGTGGCCGTTGTTCCTGACATAGGTGACTCTGCAAGCAGTCTCGTAATCCTTGTGTTCTGCTCTTTGATTTCACACTCTTGGCATAAAACTGGCCTGCAGATGTGGTGTCAGAAGAGGCTCTGTGTGTATAAGGGGCTTATCTCCAAGAGACAGCTGCTGAAATCCTGACAGCCCTGTGTGGCCTGCAGTTTGATATCTGTTCCACAGAAAATGATTTTCTGCCCAGTTAACGCGGGTGTGTGAGAATGATTTGAACCTGGCTGCCAGGAAACTGCTGCAGGGACTGACCTGAGGGTAAAGCAGTGTGCTCAGTACGTCCGTCCATGCTGGGAATGGGGTTAATCCCTGGACGAGGCTGCTCAACCTGTGCCTTTCCTGCAGCTTCTCTAGAAGTGGAGCTGTGATGTTGGTGACGTTCACCAGCAGCAATTTTTGTAAGCGGTGCTTTGCCAGCAAGGCACAAGTCTTATTACCCAAAGCAGGAGAGATGAAGAAAGAAGCTAGGAGTAGTGAGCTCCTGTTCTCAGCATGGCTCTGCTGTGCGTGCTCTGCAATTGCATGGCTTCTCTGAGTAACTGGGAAGAATGCTTCTCCCTAATAAGATGCTTTAACCACAAACGTTTCTGGAGGGTTGGAAAGCTGGAGCTGACTGCATCCCCCCTAGGATCTGTGCTCTCTGCTGGCATCAAGCAGCCCGTGGAGCTGATAACATTGTTCAAGTGCTTTCTCTTTATCTTGCAGCGCAAAGAAAGGAAGTGCAAGCACGGGCAGTGTTCTACCCTCTGATGGGCTTGGGGGGTGCAGTCAATATGTGCTATCGAACCCTCTACATTGGGACAGGTGAGTGGCTTTTCCCTAATGTCACCTTCTAGATTGACAGTGGCTCTCCCTGGCCCTCCCCGTGTGTTCCGTGAGTGCTGCTGCTGGGATTCCTCACTAACAGAAACACAGAAGTCCCCCATGCAGCAGACTTTTTGCTCTAGGGCTGTGCCTGTGTAGCCTGGCAGGCACCAGAAAGTCTCTCAGCAGAGGGAAGAATTAAAGTTTGCTTGTGGGTTTTGTTTCTTGCTGCTCACACCCCTTTAGTACTCTAGAAATGGCCGGGTAACACCTAAATGCTGCTCAGCCCTCCTGCCTGTGCAGCAGCTAGCTCTCCCTTCCCCCACTGAAACTTTGTTCATGGCTTATCGCAGCATTATTCATGCAGGCCTGGGAGCGTGGACAAAGGCAGTTGCTCCCCTGTTGTTTTGCTAATTGAAGTTTAATTCTGTCTGTTGTTCTCTGCTGCCTGGCAGTTCTTTTTTCTTCCTGAAATGAACTGAGCATTTTTGTCCTCCCCATTGGCAGGAGCCGATATGGATGTGTGCCTTACAAGCTATGGTCACTGTAACTACGTGTCCGGCAAACACGCCTGCATATTCTACGATGAGGTGAGAGCCTGAGCCTTTCTTTGCTTGACGTGCATGGCAGTGGGAGCTGGAGATACAGGCAGCAGGTTGCCTTTGTGTGGTGCTCCTTTATGGGACTGCAAAGTAGGAGCCAGAGCTGTGAATGGTTTCACTCCATGAAGGCTGCGTCAGCGTTTTGTGTCAAACCCCTTTCTGAAGCACAGAGCTCTGCCAGCGTGGTTGCTCTGAGCTAAGTGCTTGTGGACAAAGACTGACCACAAGTGAGCACTGTCACTGCTGGCATCCAGGCAAGGAAAAAGGTTTGATCCTTTTTGACCCAGCTGATATTTAACTAAAATTCTAGTGTAAACACAGAGCATTAACTACCATCCAGAGATGAGTTTGTTCATGAAGTAAACAGACCAGTCTGCCAATGGAAGTGCCACTGGAGATATGTTCCTGTTTAACCATCAACAGCAGTAGGCAGGGGAGGGGTTGTTTGTGATCGGTTCCTTCTTCTCCTTGCTCAGAATACGAAACATTACGAGCTGTTGAACTACAGTGAGCATGGGACAACGGTGGACAACGTTCTCTATTCGTGTGACTTCTCGGAGAAGATGGCTCCCACTCCTCCCAGCAGTATTGTTGCCAAAGTGCAGAGTGTGATAAGTGAGTGTCCACACAGCCCAGCCCATGTCATGCTGTTGGGGACCCATTGGAGGTCCTGTTCCCCTCTGCTCAGCTTCCTCTTGCCTGGCTGCTGAAATGGATGTGCCCGTGTCCCCCTGGGGACAATGGGACACCTCTCAGGGCTGCCCTGGGACTCTGTTCCTCTTCCATCTGCTGCTGAAGTGCCTCCAGGCTGGAGGGTTTGCTCCTGGAGCACCCCAGCAGCAGCCCCAATGGGCTGACACAAGCTCCTGCCTCAAGCTGCCCCAACCTGACGTGTTTTTTCTTTTCCAGAGCGACACAAAAGCAGGAAGCAGGAAGAGGAGCCGCATGAAGAAGCCGCCGTGATGAATTCACAGGCACAAGGGCAGCATCGGAAACCCTGCAACTGCAAAGCCAGCAGCTCCAGCTTGATAGGGGGCAGCGGGGCTGGCTGGGAAGGGACAGCTCTGCTCCACCACGGCAGTTACATCAAGCTGGGCTGCCTGCAGTTCGTTTTCAGCATTACCGAATTTGCGACCAAACAGCCCAAGGGGGACACTGCCTTAGTACAAGACATGGACTTGGAGGAGAAGCTTTCTCTGAAACCCCACCAGGTGCCCGTGCTGCGCTCCAACTCTGTTCCCTAGGAATTTCGAGGAAGAGAGTTTTGGAGATAAGGAAACGCCCTCAGACTCTTTGCAATGCAAAACTGTACAAAAACCGAGGTGGGATTTTCTATGTCAGCCCAGAGACTGTCCACACGCCGTTTGCATGAAATGAAGAACGTTTAACTTTTTTTAATTTTCTTTTTTTGCTCAAGTTTTAGGGGCATTTGCACATATATTTGTACTATACATTTCATTTTAAAAGGAAAACTGCAGCGAGAGCAGGACGCGTCGGAGCGAGGGGCGTCTGAGCCGAGGACTCTCTCTGACAGATCGTACCCACGCAGTTGTAAAATAATCAGAAACTTGTTCTATTTTGTGCCAGTGACAATAGTTTTATATTAAAAGAGAAATACAGTTTTCATACAGCAAATCTATACAATATCATTGTTTTATTTAATGTAAAGAAGCGCTCTTCTTCCCACAGTTACGTTTCCCATCCCTCCCCGCTCTGGTTGCACTACAGTAGCTACTGTGTATTGGGCAGTGAGAAATGAATTCTTTTCCTGGTGTCCATCCTCTCTTTTTTTTTTTTTTTAATTTCGAATAAGGAAAAGTGTTGGATTCTGTGTAAATACATCAGTGATGGCATTTTCAATGTTTTAAAGCTGTGTACAGTGCTACATGTGGTATGACGTCCCCCGACTTGTCTATTGTAGCAGCTCGTTCGTCGTAACCCCTCTGTCTCTTTTGTTTATATGCCACCCCCCCCCCCCCCCGCAGCAGGCCAGCTAGCTCCACTGTACAGAGTAATTGTAACGTTTTAGACTTTACAGAAACTTTCCTGTATTCTGTATATAAAAACAAAAAAATTCACATTGTTTTCTGCCTGTCTGTGTCGTTCTGTCAGCAGGATGGTGGGGAATGGGGCTGGGGGGGGGCTGCAGCAGAGCTCGGTGTGACGACTTCCCCCCCCCCCCCCCCCCCCCCCCCCCCCCCCCTCAAGCTTTCCCTGTCCCCATTGCGCTGCACTTTGCCCGCTCCATTGGCTTTTCCACCCCTTCCTGCACAAAGGGCTGCGGCGCTCGCTCTGAGCAGCACAGCCCTCTTCCTCTTTTCCTCCTCCCCTTCCTCCCTGCGGACAGGATGGGGTGGTGGCTGCTGGGTGTGGGGCTGCTGCTCTGCGTGCTGCTTTGCTTCACCCTACGCAGCCCCGCACCGCCGCTCGCCCTGCCCGCGCTGCACGGCCGCACCGCCATCGTCACCGGTGAGCGTGGGGCGCTGCGTGGTGCTGCCTGGCTGCTGGCTGCCAACTCACTGCTCTCTGTGGTGCTCTCCTCTGCAGGGGGAAGCAGTGGTATCGGGGAGGCTGTGGCACGGGAGCTGGCACGGTGCGGGGCACGCGTGGTGCTGGCAACGCGCAACGCGCTGCGGGGAGAAGAGGCTGCATGGCGCATCCGTAGGGTGAGAGCTGCAGGGGTTGGGGGAGGGAGGCAATAGGGGCACAAGGAGTGGCTCTGGGTATCACTGGGACACCCCCATAGGATGGTCCCCATGTGCACCCTTATGGCACGTCCTTGGAGGACCCTAAGGCACCCATCCTTTCAGCACCCCTGTGGAGCAGGGTGATCCCATAGGACACCCCCACAGCACAGCCCTGATGTACCTGCACCCCAAGCACCCCCAAATATCTCCACGTGCATCCCTAAAATACCCCCACAGCACATCCCAGGACACCCCAGCTGCACCCTCTGAACGTCCCCATATACCCCCACCCCAGTGCACCCTTAGGACACCTCTCTAGGCTCTCCCCAGTGTTCCCCTGCAGACCCTTGTGCACTCTTAGGACCCCATGATACATCCCTGGAAATCCCTATGGTCCATCCCCAGTGCAGCCCTAGAACTCCCTCCCCCTTGGCACTTCCCTGATGGATGGTGCATCCCCATGGGACATCCCACTGTAACCCTCCTCCATACTCCCAGTGCATCTCTAGGACACCCATATGGGACCACCCCCAGCATACCCCACCCTTAGGCCACCACCCCATTGCCATTCCCTGCAGCCCCCTCTTCCCTAAAGCCTCAAGACCAGCTTCTGCCCCCTCCACCCCCACTGCAGGACACGGGGAACCCTGAGGTGCTCTTCATGCCTCTGGACCTCAGCAGCTTCCACTCAGTGCACGCTTTCGCCACCGCCTTCCTGCAGCAGGAGCCCCACCTGCACCTCCTCATCAACAACGCCGGTGAGCAGCAGAGCACTGCATCACCCCCAAAACCCAGCACCCCAAACCCAGCACCCACACCACGCACTGCCCACACAGGAGTGAGCGCCGGGGGCACGACGCAGGACGGTTTCAGCCTGCCATTCCAGGTGAACCATCTGGGCCACTTCCTGCTGACCCAACTGCTGCTGCACCGCCTGCAGAGCAGCGCCCCGAGCCGTGTGGTCATCGTCGCCTCCTCTGCACACTGTGCCGGCCGCCTGCGCATGGCCGAGCTCGGCCACCCACCCCCCGGCCCCTTTGCTGCCTTCCAGGATTACTGTGACAGCAAGCTGGCCAACGTGCTGCACGCCCGGCAGCTGGCAGCACGCCTGCAGGGGACTGGAGTCACCGCCTATGCCGTGCACCCAGGTATGGGCAGCTCAGTGCCAAGTGGTTTGCTTGTTGCATGCTTGCATGGAGCACGCCTTCACATGGAGTATCTCTTTGCACGGTGCTCCTTTGCACGGTGTTCCCTTTGCACGCAGCATCCCTCTGTGCTGCGCATCTTTTACGCAGTTCACCTTTTGTGTAGCATCCCTTTGAATGATGCATCCCGCTGCACGGTGCATGGAGCACCCCTTTGTGCAGTCACCCTTTCCACAGTTCACCTTCTGCACGCCACATGCCTTTGCACTCCACATGCCTTTGCACTCCACATCCCTTTGCACTCCACATCCCTTTGCACACCACATCCCTTTGCACACCACATGCCTTTGCACAGCCATCCCTTTGCACTCCACATGCCTTTGCACACCACATGCCTTTGCACACCACATCCCTTTGCACACCACATCCCTTTGCACAGCCATCCCTTTGCACACCACACCCCTTTGCACAGCACATTGCTTTGCATGCTGTATCCCTTTGCTGATGGGTCCCCTCCCCACCGGTGCCTACTGCAATGCACCCCCTCCTCTCTCCCTGCAGGTTTTGTCAACACACAGCTGTTCCGTCACGCACCACTATGGCTGCAGCTGCTGTGGACTCCGCTGTCTCGGTTCTGCTTCCGCAGTGCAGCTGAAGGCGCACGCCCAGTGCTGTTCTGTGCCACTCAGGATGGCCTCGAGCCCTTCAGCGGCTGCTACTTCGCCGACTGCCGCCCCCTGCAGCCCTGGGCTCAGGGCAGGGATGATGCTGCAGCACGAGAGCTGTGGGACCGCAGCCAGAGGCTGCTGGGGCTGCGGCCCTCCTTGTGCACACCTGCGGAATAAATAAGTCCTGCAGTTGTGTTGCACTGCGTCATGCAGCTCCCCAAGCTGCCCCCGTGCAATGCGTGCCATTTTCTGCATGCCATCCCATGCTGAGCAGCTTTGCAAAGAGTGCAGTTGCTTCAGTGCAGCATGCTCTGCCCTGCACAGATGTGCTGCTGCAGCTCGCAGTCTTGCAAACACACATGCTGTGCAAACCCTGCCTTGTCAGTGCATGCATATGCATATAGCCCTGCATATGCACACAAATGCTGCAGCGTGAATGCGCTCTGCTTTGCACAGTGCAACAAATCACACTGTAGCGTGCACGCTGCACCATGCACTGCATTGCACACGTGCAACAAAGCATGCTGTACTGCGCACACACTACAATGCACACACATGCATATGCTGCACTGCACATGCCCTACCTTGCACACACACTACACACATTACATTGCATGTGTCCTGCCTTGTGCATGCACACAGCCTTGCACACACAGCACAGTGCCTGCACTGCACTGCACGTGCCCTGCCTCGCACACACTGCACTGCGCATGCATGCATGACACGTGCCGAACTGCACACGCTGCATTGCATGCAGCCTCACACATTAAGGAACACACTGCTGTGCACTGGCCATCCCCAGCATGGAACACCCTCCCCTTGCATTGCATTGCATTGCATTGCATTCCACACCCTCCCCTTGCATTGCATTGCATTGCATTGCATTCCACGCCCTCCCCTTGCATTGCATTGCATTGCTTTCCACGTCCTCCCCTTACGTTGCATTGCATTACATTACACTGCACACCCTCCCCTTGCATTGCATTGCATTGCTTTCCACGTCCTCCCCTTACATTGCATTGCATTGCATTGCACTGCACACCCTCCCCTTGCATCGCTTTGCATTGCATTGCATTGCACTGCACACCCTCCCCTTGCATTGCATCGCATCGCATCGCATTGCACACGCTCTGCACCGCGCGCACCGCCGCCGCCCCGCAGCGCTCCGCACACTGCGCACGCGCCGCGCAGCGCCCCAAGATGGCGGCCGCCCCTGACCCCGCCCCTCCGCGCGGCGCCCACCTCCCCAAGATGGCGGCCGCCCTCCCAAGATGGCGGCCGGCCGTGACTCCGCCCCCAAGCGCGCTGTCCACCTCCCCAAGATGGCGGCCGCCCTGGAGGCGGGGCGGTGCGGGGCGGGAGGCGGCGAGAGGCGGAGGAGCCGTACCGCGGGCGGCATGGGCAACTGCCACACGGTGGGGCCCAACGAGGCGCTGGTGGTGTCAGGTACGGGCGGGCACAGCGCTGAGGGGCTTGAAGGGGATCCGGGGGGTCGTGAGCTCCGGGGGTCGGGCTGCGCCAGGCCTGGGTGTGGGGGGGGTCACTGTGTGTGGGGGGGGGACGTGTGGCACCGGGGGGTCAGCAGGGGGTCAGCAGGGGGTGGGGGGCACTGGTGTGGCACTGGTGTGGCACTGGTGCTCCCAGCTCAGCCCTGGGACAGCGATGGGAATTGCTGAGGCCGTGGCAGGCAGGGGGATGAGCGCTGTGTGCCCGCTGCTTCTCAGGAGTGCAGACAGCAGCTGGGCAGCGATGCTTCCCTTGCTCCCCCCTAAGAGACCCCTTCAGAAGAGCGCAGCGCGGTGCTCAGGAGCCGAGGAGCCATCGTGATCTGCACCAGGGCACCGCGCAGGATGGAGGCTTTGCTGTAACCTCTGTTCCTTCCCGAATCTCGCAGCTCGCAGGACGGCCCAGCAGGGATTCGTGACATCAGCTGGAGAGCCAGGGCTGCTCCTGGATGCAGCACTGTGCTCTGGGACGAGGGCCTGGCACAGCCGTGTGGGCTCAGTGCCACCCCCAGACACGGCTCTGCTGCTGGTCCCTGTGAGCGTCCCCCCTCAGCACCCCTGGGCAGAGCAGCAGGGTGCAGCCCCGAGTTCCGGGAACTGAGGCGGAACAGAGAGAGCTGACGGCATCCGGCACTTAATTGGGTGATATTAGGTCAGATCTGGGAAAGGGAGGAGAAATCTGACAGCAGGTCGTGGCAGCAGCTGGCTCCTGGCTTGCTGTCATGCAGCTGTGATGTTTTCTGAGCTCTTTGTTTTTGCTGGTGAGATATCTCAGGCCCTCAGCACCAGGAGCAGCAGCCGTACCCTGGGAACGTGTGCACGCAGAGATCCGCAGCCTTATTTGGGAAGCAGCCTCCAGGGCACGGCCAGCACTGTGCTGTGTCCTTCCCTCTTGAGCAACGCTCGTTTCCTTCTAAGAAACTGCCCTGGGTCAGGCAGTCCATGCAGAGCCCAGGAATGCTCTGGGGAGTTGTGCAAGGTGATGATGGGCTCTGCAATTTGAGTCTTACGTTGCAGGAGGAGCTGCAAGCTTCCCGCTGGGGCTTGGTGCAGGCCCTGGGGAGGCTTTGGCTCCTTGCAGACTGCTCCTGGGCAGAGCCCTGCATTCAGAGAAGCAATACCTGCTCACCCTGACGTCAGGCTTCCCACAAGATGCACAGATCCTCTCCAAGTGCGTAATGGTTTTCAGTTGCAGTCTGGCTGAACGCAGCCGTTGTGGCTCGGGATCAATCTGCTAATGCTGAAATCCGACACTAATATTTCTGCAGAGCCTCATCGTAAGGAGATGTCATATTTAATGGCTGCGCTCATCTCGCAGCTCCTGTGAGCCAACAGGGCAAACGGTGCAGGGCTCAGCAGCAGCTGGGACACCTGGAGGTGCAGTGTGAGGCAGGTTGTGCAGAGCACAGTGCTGTTGGAGCAGCAGGGTGCTGCTTCAGCTGGAGGTCAGGGTGTGAAAGGAGAAGCAATAGGGCCCAGCTCAGCTCCCCAGTGCATCCCCTCTGGGGCTCTTTGATCTCTGTCAGAGCAAGAGAAGAGCTGGCAGCTGATTCTAGTTTTGTGTCAACATTTCCTGTCAGGCCCCAGCAGTTGGGGATGGTTAACCCTTCCCGACCTGATCTGAGCACTCCCATCCTCTTGCTGCGTCCCTCTTATTCCTACAAGAGAACTGTCTGTGAGCCAGTGTACCACAAAAACAGAGCAGTCACTTGTGCACATTTTGAAAGCCAGAAATGCAGTCTTCTGGAGGCTCTGTGAACCCTTCCTGCTCTGCGAGAGCCCTGCAGTCCTCAGGCACTGTAAAGTTGATATGAGCCAGGCTGGAAAACCAGCGCCAGGGAACCTGACAGTGGTTCACTGTTCAGCTGAAGGGATTTATCAAGTAAGTGCCTTGTTTTGGCTTGGATGGTGGAATCGAGAATGTGCTTATTGAATTTGCAGATGACATTGAGCTGGGAATGGATTCGAGAGCTTTGAGAGCAGGATTAGGATCAAAGCGAACTCAACAGCTAGGCCAAATGATCTGAAAGAAGTGTGATGCAGTTCAGTGAAGAGAAATGCAGAGAGTGCTGTTTAGGGGAGAGCAACCAATCGCATGAGAACAGAACAGGAGAAGCTCCAGGCCATCTCCTGTAGGAAAGGGAGACTGCAATCTCCAGGTCCCTTCAGAGAGGATGGCAGGAGAAGAGGTGGGCAGAGTGGACTTGGGATTTTCCTTTTGTTTCTGGGAGGAATCTTGGGGTAACATTTCAGCAGCTTCCTTGTGTTTGCTTTCATTCTCCTCTGGGTTTCTGTTTACAAGGTGGGTTCAGCCGAAGGTGTGGTTTGTAAGCTCTCTGTAACAGCGATGCTCAGAGTTTGAAATGGTTGGTTTTGATTTGGATGACCTCCAGAAGGAGCTCACCAGCACAACCTGTAAAAGATTACGTGGACCCATCTCAGAATCCTGCATCTGACAAATTCATTTTATTAACCTTGGATGAGGCACGAGGACAAAGCCTGATTGATATTCACAGTGGCACCTAAGAACCAGACGCTGATTTTAGTCTAGACCCTGCTTTATTACGTGAGTTTCTTTGCATATGCCTTTGCCTCTTCCTGTCTGTGTTCAGCAGTGTTCCCAGCAATCACTCTGCTTGTTTCCCAGCAACACTTCCCTGCATCTACCGAAGAGCTCCATTTATCTACAGATCCTCAAATCTTTCATCTCATGTTATCCAAACCAGGCAGCGTGCTTTCTCTTGGCTCTGGGAAGCCATGCTTGAACACGGGACCCCTTCATCTGAAGAGGCCGGAGAGGCTGGCAGCTGCCTGGCCATGAATCCCCCATTTGTAGCAGGCCTGACTGTGGCATGCTGCACCCGGAAAGTGTGGGGATGTTTGTGAAAGGGACAGCCAAGTGGCTGTGAGACCCAGCCCTGGGGAACAGCGGGTGTATTATAGCTGAAAAATGCACCTCCTCTGCCAAATCCCGTTGTGCAAGAGGGGTTATTCTTCAGCCTTGCAAGGATTTCACTCTGTGGGTTCCTTTTTCACTTGATCTCCGAGACTTGGCAAAGAGGCTGCAAGAAGTGCAATGGAAAATTAACCATCGTGAGTTACCAGGACAGAGCTCTGCTGCAGTCCAACGTCCAGCTTGCAGGAAAGCAACCAGCTGGCATCCCACCTCTGTTTAATGGCTTTGGCTTCCCTGTTTTTCTTATGCTTTGAATGCTTCAGGATGTGAAGCATAGCTTAGCAAATGGAGCTGCATAGCAGTGGTAGGAGGCTCTGGGAAGCAAGCGTTGGTGTGATGCTGAGCGAGGCATTGCCTGCAGAAGGAAAAAGGAATCTGTGAGCAGAAACACCTTCCCAACTTGTAACAGCAGTGCTATTAGGGCACGTTTTTCTCAGAAAACGATTATTAAACAATTGTCAGAGGTACATTGGAGGCGTAATGACCACGTGGATGCTGCGAAATGAACAACTTTCCATGCTGCCAGGAGCACCTCCCTTCCTGTCCTTGGGAAATGAGGTCCTCCAACAAATGTTACCAGGCGTTGCAGTGCTGTGAGATTGCTCTGCTCGCAGCTCGCTCTGTTTGGGTGCAGGGTTTTCCCTGACACGTGGGTGTAATGGCTCTTCCATCTGTGTTCTTCCCACTGTGCTGCAGGTGGCTGCTGTGGCTCCGACGTGAAGCAGTATGTGTATGGTGGCTGGGCCTGGGCCTGGTGGTGCATCACTGACACCCAGAGGTAAGGAGACCCAGAGGAAACCCCCACATTGCTTGTGGGTCTGGAGGACGTGCCAGGCAGAGCCGTCCCTGCAGGGCTGTCAGTGTCTGTAGGAATGCAGGGCTGGCCAGCACCTGGGAAACCATGGATGAGCATCAGCACTCTGCCTTTGGCTGCAGCCCCCGCCTGCTGCCCAGCTCTGTTTGTCTAACAACGTGCTCACTGCTGTCACCACGAGAGCAGGCTGTGTTCCTGTGTAAAAGCACAGGATTTCCTTTCCTTCTCTTTCCTCGGTCACGGACTTTGCTAGTCTCTGAACTAACATGCTGTGGTACTGCTGCTGTGGCTCTTCTTTAGGACCTGTGGGGATGTTGCTAAGTGTGCCTCTGTCCTAACACCTCCCTCACACTCAGGCACAGGTTTCTGCCTATGTGAAAAATAACAGGGAAAGGATAAAGACGTGACTTTCAGGTTTTCTGCACTACATGAAGGCCAGAGGTTGCAGCTAAGCTTCCCTCTTCATGTCCACGTGTTGCCACCAGCAGACAGCCAGCATGCTGCTGCCCTCCCCCTGCAGATGCTGCACAGCCCTCAGTGCTGCTCACCTGGCTCAGCCAGCTCGCTGCTGGCGATGGGCTCACAGCTCTTAGCTCCTTTCCTGGGATTTTGCATGAAGAGTCTCAGCTAACACCTTCTGCCTTGGCCCAGGCTCTCTGGCAGTGCTGCTATTAACTTGTGAAGTTGAACAAAGGGTGAGTCCAGGTTAGAGAGCTGCTTGCTGGGAGCGAGCTGTCACGTGCTGGAGGTCTGTGCACTGTCTGGCAAATGGGGCTTGGATAGGATTGCCAGCACCCAAGCAAATATTGTACTTCAAAATCCATACCCTCAGGTCATGCCATGGGGCTAAATTCTCCTTTTGAGACTGGAGTCTTTCCCAAATACCTGTGCCACAGTTGGAACCTGCTGCATG